AATCACTGTGCTCTTGATTATCGCAACCACTCATGGGCAGTTTTACCACAGTTTGGGAGAAAGGGCCAGTTCTTCCAGGGAAGGCGGGGGGAGACAAAATATAACAGCAGACATGTACAAGGCCATCTTCACACCTAGATGGATGCTCAACGCTGTGCTCAGTGACAAAGGACAGCAGAACCTAAATTGGTTTCTTTTTAAATACTATTTCGAACCCCACTGAATTTAAAAAACAATATTGCAGCCTGCACTGGAAGCACTTTTTTACTGTAAAGTGCTTGCACCCAATCCCTAAATAATTTACTGGAGTTGAGAAGCTTTAAAATTTCTATAGGAAGATTGCAGAAAAACCTCAGCAGTAACAGAGATTTTTTTACATATTCCGCCCCTGTGTTATTTATTTTATTTATTTATTTATTTATTTAATTTTTATCCCGCCCTTCTCCTTACAGACTCAGGGCGGCTGACAGCCTTATAAAACAGATACAACAATAAAAATACCCAGTTTAAAACCTAATTAAAAAGAAATATTTACTGTGGCCTATGTCAATTAAAATTACTCTTAAAACCCCACTAAAATATAATAAGAAAGAAATATAATAATTCTTTAACGCAGGCTCATCTCTTCCCACGCAAACAGAAGAGAGATATTAAAATTCCACAGAAACAAATCTTTATCCTTCAAACTGCTTCTGCCAACAGGCAGAACCAGATAGACACAACTTCACAGTGATATATATTACATTTGACAGAACACGAAATGTCACATAAATGAAAATTTACCTGTGATTTATAATTTCTACTGTTCCGTACTGTTCTATCCAGAGCTTGCCAATAATTACATTATGTACACAACAGGTAGGGTTACTCCAAGTGTAAGCTTCGCGGTGTCTGTAAGTGAAGAAAAGAAGGTTGATCAGATGCTTAGAAAATAATAAAATAAAATAAAATAAATAAAATAAGAAAATAAGAGACAGAAAACCTGATTACAGGCAGTCCTTGACTTACAGCCATTGAATGATTTAGTGATCATTCAAAATTACAACGGATAGAAAAAAGTGATTTATGACAATGTTTCACACTTATGACCATCCCCACGGTCACATGATCGAAATTCCGATGCTTGGCAACTGGCATGTATTTACGATACTTGCGGTTTCCTGAGGCGATATGACCACCATTTCTAACCTTCCCAGCTGGCTTCTGACAAACAAAGTCTATGGGGGAAGCCAGATTCATTTAACAACTACATGATTCACTGAACAACTGCAGTATTTCGCTTAACAACTATGGCAGAAAAGGTCTCAAAAATGGGGCAAAACTCACTTAACAACTGCCTTGCTTAGCAACAGAAATTTGGGGCTCAACTGTAGTCATAAGTTGAGGACAACCTTACTGTCCCAGATCTTGAATTAATATAGTGATAAAGTATAAGATTCACT